AGCGCAGTTGTGTGCTTGACAAACCCTTGAACTTCAATCAGAGTAGACATGATGTATACTGTGTGCGATAACATACACATACACATCAAATTCAAAAGGTTCAAGACCAGCCGCGAGCAGAATTCGCATGGTCTGAACATGTCACAATATCACCACTTGTCCCTCCTATTCTTGCAATAGACAGCGGCATCCATTAAATTTGGCTGCTTGATCCCATGCAACGAAACCGGCAGCAACTGGGCAGCGTGTCCGGCATCTTTACCACTGCGACTTTGGCCAAGTTTGGTGCCTGAAAGTGCACAACAAAAGACCAATGCAAATACCACGGCTGGTTCGATTAATTTAGTGGCCACTCCATTCACATCCAGTTGTTGAGCATGCATATTACGGTTCTTGAATACTCTCGGAATGTTATCCAAATGCAAGCGGCTGCTAAATCGCAGCCGTTATATGTTTGGAATTGTTTGGATACCTGAACTGAATGTTACGCACCGTGAAACCTTGCCCCCGCTAAGCAGTTTGTCGTTTGGCCGCCTTGAAAAACTTCAAAAAGAGCGTGCTTAAAGTGCTTGCAAAAGGAAAGCCGTCTTGCTTGTAGTAGGCGGTAGTGAAGTAATGGTCCAAGCATGTCCCCCCTCTTATGTTGCTTCAAATCCTGACGCAGCCCGGGGTGATTTGGCAAAGCTTCAGGCAGCTTCGTCAAAGTGTTTTTCCGGGACAAGCCTGGAAATGCCTAAGTTCGACTCTTTTGGTTGGTTCCACCGCATAAGCACCAGAGTAGGAATAGTACATCAAATCCAGCAAACGAACGGGACCCTCGGAGGCCATCTCCCCCCTCATTCTGCCTTCCCCTTTGGTGGAGCGACTGAAGGCTGCTTTGGCTTTGCTTCGGGCTTCGCTCCCGCTTTTGCAACGTTTTCCTTGGAACTGGGCTCATGGGCTCAGTGACCCCTTGGGTCTTGTTTCAAGCTATCGAGACAGGGAACCGGCCTTTGCCTCGGCCGAGCTGGTCTTGGGCATCTTCGCTGCTTCTTTAGATTGCACCTGGATGTGTTTTCGGCCGAGGATCTCAAGGATCTTTCCAGCTCTTCAGCGAACTTTGTGTGTTATTTTTTTGCATTGCTCTTGGTGGTGCACCAGAGATACCTAAGACAACCATCCTTCATATGCATTATTTTGTATTAATCACAGTCTGTGCTGCTATATGATGTGTCCTGAAGAATCAAAGAAATGCTGTTTCGCTGTTCTCATACTTGGAGAGACACATGGGCCAAACTCCTATCTCCAGAATGAGCCTGTCGACAAATGAAATTTAGCGGACATTCGAGTAAAACACGGTACAGCAGCAAAAGCATGATCAAACTAGAGAGACGAGAGACTAAGTTGCTTTGATGCAACACTCACAACAAAAAATACTATCCGAAAAGTCTAGCTAGTCTTTCGTACAACATACTAAGACATTCAACAGCAAACATTGCGCAGAAGGTTTAAAGTACTCCCAGAATCTCCAGACCTTCGGCCCGTTCTGCCCTGCTTTCGGCAAAGACTTCATCACGGCAGCTGATGGGCCGGCCTTTTGAGGTCGGGCGGCATGATGTGCAAGAATTTCTTCAACAAGTACTCTAGCGTCCTTGTTCCTAGGCCAGGAGTAGTAGCGTCCTTGTTCCTAGTAGTAAGGCCAGGAGCCCCTAGTAGCGTCCTTGTTCCTAGTAGTATGGCCAGCAACACGTAGTAGCGTCCTTGTTCCTAGTAGTAAGGCCAGGAGCCCCT